TGAAAGACAACTTGAATTCATTGTTTTCAAATGAACACAAATAACCTGATTTGTCTCAATGACAGTATCACAAAAGTTTCTTTTAGATCTAAATAAAATCCATTACACATTAATAATCTAAAATGCTCTATAACTTTCACCTCCACCAATTTATCATCTTCAACATATATGTATCTTTCAACATCAATTAACTTCTAATAATTTTGATAACCCCTCCTTAAAACATTAAATTTAATGAATATATTCATCTCAAAAGACATATGCAAAGATAAAAAATGGCATATAATAAAAATTAATAGGTTGATGCAATCAATCTATTACGCTTTTGTATGTGAAATTATAGAGATGTTGCATTAACAATGTAAAGTATAAATTAATTTTATACTATAACCAATAATGATTGTTATGTATTCTATCAATGTAGAAAATTGATCTATTTTCATTGGATTACAATACATTGTGCAAATATAATTTTCCATTTTTTATAAAATAGACCGTGAAGAAACAGCAAATAGTCAAACTTAAAAACTTCCACTCGCAATGATAGCGCGTAGAATTTGAATATTCCACTCACCACGCAAGCGAAGCGATCTACACTGTACTGTCTCAATCTCAAATCCCTAATTTCTGAATTCGCCAAAACCCTAAACATTCTATCTACCAATTCTCACCGGAGTTTGCCGGCGATGGTGATCCTTGAGCCGGAGAAACGAACAGATTCAGAGCCTCAAAGCCCCGAGTCATCGGAAAACCCTTCCCAATCCGATCCGCAGAAGAAAACCAGGGATTTGCCCAACTTGACCGAATGTCATGCGTGTGGCTTCAAGGTTGACATGTGCACCGGTAAGAACAAACTCCGACCTCTTTATAGCGAATGGCGTATTGTTCTTCTATGCAACAAGTGTTTTTCTTGTATCCAATCTTCCCAAATTTGTTCCTATTGCTTTTCCGCATCATCTTCAGATTCTTTTCGTTGCACCCTATGTCAGCACTCTGTTCACAAAAATTGTTTCTTTAAGTACAGAAATGTTGCTCCTTGGTCATATTCTTGTTTAGGTTCTGAGTTTTCTGTATGTGTCGATTGCTGGGTTCCTAAACATGTGGAAATTGCTAGGAGAAGAAGTATAAGAAGTCTAAGAAAAATAAAGAATGGTGTGATTTTGAAAAAGGGTAGGGTTGACTTAGAGAAAGAGAGTTCTAGGGTTTTGAAGGGTGCAAAGTTGATCAGATCTATGGAGGATGTGGTTAAAGATGGTAACCTTAAGGTGAAGAGGAAGATTGAAGCGGCCACTAGGACTCGAGATGTGGCAGGGAAGGGAGCTGTGGTGACTAAAAGGGCTGTTGAGCTGGCAAATAGGGAAGAGAGTACTCTGAACCTGCCTCCCAAAATGGATTCTGTTAAATTTGTTGGTGGTTCATATTTGACTTTTGACTTGCATTTGAATAGCTCACCGAGGGTTTCCAAGAGTCGTTGCTTGTTGAATACGAGTTACATGGATGCTCCAAAGAAGTGGATTTCTAGTGTCGATTTATCATACAAGACATCAAACTCGAGGAATGCTAGTGGTTCTGATAATATCTTGGATAGTGATTCTTCAACTGATCTGAGTTGTCCCTGCATGGGAGGGACTGACATGATAACTAGCGCTAAAGGCGGTGACTGCACTGCTGAATTTGGTGTTGAAGAGATTGGGGAAGTGCCCTTGAAGGAAGGGGAGGGAAGTTGTTCTGATCGGCTCATAAACTTAAGCCGAGAAGACTGTGGATTGGAACTTGATCGCAAGCAAGCTTCTGCATCTCACGGGGAAGAGCAGAAAGATCGTTATCTCTTGAAGTATTTTAGGAGGAGGCCAGATCGTTATCAATTGAAGTACAGTAGGAGGTCAAATCGTTATTTGTTGAAGTATTGTAGGAGGAAACCAGATCGTTATATCTTGAAGTATAGTAGGAGAAATTGTTTAAAACCAACTCTTAATAATCTCGAGAGTCAAGATTTGACTGTGTAGATTCCATTCAATTGTTCTGTACAATTGAGAACACATATCCAATGCTTCATGTCATTCATGTAATGCTCCTTTACAATAATTAGCTTTTGAAAGCTGATATTTCAGAGATCTGTTGTCAAATGGAATTGGTACATAATTGTTCTCGTTATTTTTCTTAGTTAAAATTTGAAGCTGTTGTTATTCACATTGTCTGATTTTAATTCTATCTTATTTTCTCTTCTGCTCTTACTTTTACTTTTAAACCTGTTGGAAAAATGAACAAAGGCTTAAATAAAGAATATAAGTTATGCAGACTGGAAAAGAAATAATAATTAGAAAATGTATCAGTAATTTCATCGATGAAATGACAGTAGGCAATATAGTGCCTTCTATAATACTGGAAGTAGAATTTCATATACTTGTTAACAGTTCGACAGTATTTCATTTCAAGGTACCAATTATGTAACATATTTTTCTCTTGATTCTATATGTTCCCTTGAAGCTTAGTTGTATGATCTATTAATTCTTTACCATTCTTTTTGCTTGTTGTGGTTTCATTAAATATGGCTGATTTTACCCTAAAATCAATTCTGGTCTACCTTATAAAATGTTCAGCAATAAGTCATACTACCTAAAGACCCTTCAGGTAGCACCTTAGCTTGACAAGACTTCAGATGAATGTAGTATTATGAAATTATCATTCTGATTGAGTAGCTTTATGATGGCCGGAACTGGAAGTGTTTCAGTAGTTTTTCGTAAGGTTGACTGCTATTTTATTGTGAAGTAGTTTTCAACTTTATATGTTTTCATTATAATAGTGATGGGATGCTTCACTTTTCGGGTCTTGATCAATGATTGCGTATGATGGTTTAGTTTTTACTGACTGCATGGTGATGACAATAAGGCCATTGTGAAATGAATAAAGATAACACAATATATGGAATAAGTTAAAACTATTTTATAATTTCCGTCGCTGTCAGGTGCTGTATTTTGAACCTATTTCATCTGGATTTGGTTCTTATATTATTGACATTATTTTTACTGTTCGTCACAATTTTCAACATTTGTAGTCTAAACAAAATTGTTACTGGGTTTGCTTAATCTCTGAAAACTTAAGCTAAAATGTGAAGCTATTGATTTTATAGATACTTGTGTATCATGCAGTTTCTTGCTTTAAGAGTTGGGATCTCTTATTGATTACTTTGCATTTTAGATAAGGTTTGATAATGCATGGTTACCTCCTTTTAACCATTCTGGTTATGGACTAGAAGTTAGTTTTGGCCTACCTTTCTCTGTTTTTCTGTCTTAAAAAATGAGATCTCTTATTGATTGTTAACTAATTTTTTATTCTCTTTTGTATGTTTGCCTAATTTTCCAAGTAGCTGACTATAAAGTTTCTTACTCTCAAAATGGTCACAAGTTTACTGGAGCAGATGTTTACTGCTGGAATCTCAGTGAACTTTCTCTGATTGTCTGTAGCTCTGTACTGCTGGATTAACTTTTCATGTTAGCCATAGCTGGATTAACTTTTCATGTTAGCCATATTTGTCTTTAGATTTATAGTGCTCTTTGCCAAGAGTTTTCATAGTCAGTTACATATTGGATGCTTACATCAACCTCAGCTATATTAGTCTCAAATGGTTTCAAATGTAATATTTATTTATAATTTGATGTATTTTGTATAACATGATCGAGTTTATGGAGTTTCCGAAAATGACGGATTTAGTATATTTTTGTTTTATAATAAAGTTGGAATTTTAAAACATAGATGCAGGTATGGTATTTATAAGTCATTGATATAAAAGTTTAATATTTTAAAATGAGGTACGGTCCTTACCTCATTGGAGTTATGAGTCGATTACCAAAATGCAAAACAGAATGATGCAAAAACTTAGGTTAGACAACTTTAATTGTGTCATTGTATTGCACCATATTTGCCATTCTTATTCAGTCACTTCCTTGCTCTAAATTTAAAACCCCGAATTTGCTTAATCAATAGTTTCATTCCGCAACAATACCAATCAACAGGTTCACTCTCCAACAATACTAATCAATAGTCTCATTTTGCAACAATGCTTCAAATAGAATAGTTTCATATCGCATCAATACTACTAATCAATAAGTGACATGATTGCATCTTAAAATAGCTTTGATATTAAACTTCAAGAATAAATTTGATATTAAAAAATAGTAAAGGATTAAAATGTTACAAACGTCAAATTTAAAAGATTAGATGATTCATTTGACCCATCTTATACCATATCAACTGTTACTATAAATTGTTTAATGATAGACCAAAATTTACATTGACTTAAAATCTGAAGATTGCTAAAAAGCATAATCAATCAATATTGTTATAAGCAAACATATACATGGCAATAGATGACCGTATCAAATGACTCAAATATACAACTGGAAGTTAAACAGAATACATATGTAGTTTTAAAAAGTTTTTAGTTTAAAGTAGAAGCATAATTGGCATACAGAAAATGTACCGAGTTAAAAACACAAAAAAACTCACTCAAAACACACGATCACCTTGAAAATTATCTCACATAAAGCTCATGTTGTGGTGTCTTCGTCTTATAAAATAAATTAAAGACAACACAACTTGAACTACACTGAAAATGGTGCATGGATGGACATAAGGTAAGGTAACAACTGTTGCATAAAATCACAGGATAAGCAAAAGAAAATAATGATAGCATAGACTAGAGCACAAGATATTTGACAGTAATTCAAACAAGCACAAGATTTCATTGGAACTAACGATTAACAGTTATGAACATAAAAAGTTTAGATATATGTTCAAAGTATTACACGTCAAAACACTGGTACCACATCCATAAAAAAAAATCCAAAACAATGTCATCAAAAGAAAAAGTTGAAGCAGCAACAGCAACTCTTCAATTTGAAAACTGCAAAATCACAATAACATTAACATCAGAACCATGAAAATCATGTACACAAAGTAAAACTCAATGCATGTTGAGTACCTCAATAAAGCTAAATGTATCAACGACGCTCATATGATCCACGACGCTCATATGGTCCAGCACGATCCCTGTCACGACCGCCACCATCCCTGTCACGACCGCCACCATCCCTATCACGACCTCCACCATCCCTATCACGCCCGCCACCATCCCTGTCACGCCCACCACCATCCCTATCACGACCGCCACCATCCCTATCACGCCCGCCACCATTCCTCTCAGGACCATAGCCACCGCTGTATCTACTTTCTCTTCCACCATATCTTCCCCCTCTTTCTCCTCCTTCACTAGGACATTCTCTTGCAAAATGACCAGGTTTACCACACTTGAAGCATTCACCGCCATTAGACCCTCGACCACCTCCATAATCTCGGCCACGATTGCGATCACGTGAGTCACGACCACCTCGACGGTCATCATCGTCTCTATTTCCTTGAGGTTGGGCTTTATCTACGGTAATAGTTCGACCATCCAAGTCAATTCCATTCATGGCCTCAATAGCCTCATTCATTGCTTCCTTGTCATCAAACGTGACAAACCCAAAACCACGAGAACGACCCGAGAACTTGTCAACCACAACCTAAACCAATTTTCATCCAATGTTAATAAAGACTAAAGTAAAAAAACAGCATAACTTGAAAAAGTACACTAGGATATGTATATATAATGCAAAACAATAAACAAGCGTGAAAGTGTAGCAAGATCATAATTCTTAACAACATGAAACACAAATAAAATATGAAACTAATCACCTTAGCCTCAAGAAGCTTGCCATACTTTTCAAATGCTTCCTTTAACTTTCTATCCGAGGTTGACCATGCAAGGCCACCAATGAAGCAACGAAATTCATCCGAATCAGACATTCAAAACTGCATATTTACAAGAAAACTAGCATTAGCACCTAATATTTAAATCAGCTCCAACAACTCTAGAGATACAAACAGAGTCGTCTCAGATTTTTTTTAGGCCCTAGCCTAAGCTTAACCATGGCAAAACAAATAGTTAACCCTATTTAACCGTGGCGAATATTTTATGAGATCCTATTTGACCACGGTTTAGCCGTGGTCAATTTTGGGCTTCTCTGCGGTAGCCCATCATGCACACTCTCCAAAATGGCTCTGATACAAAACTCACCCCACACATATAAACAAGTAGAAAAAAAAGACAGAATCATCTACATTCGCCATGAATAAACCCAATCAAATTCACAAGTAAGCTTCTATGTAACATCCAAAGAAAACTAATTATCAAAATTAATCTGTCATAGAACTGTCATCTAGAACTACAATTATAAAAAATATTTTTGCAAAACCCTAAACCCTTAATCCCTAAAATGAAAAAGAAAAAAAAAACACAATCCCTAAAATGACAAAAGAACCCAAAGTAGTAACTTTATCCCAATTCTCAAGTTTAGGGCTAAAATCAAAGCAAACCCAGAAACCCCGTGATTTTCATACACGAATCAAAACAAAAATTGACAATGGTTGCTAATAAAAAACAACATCAATGAGAAACATGCGAATACTGAAGAGAACAAGAATGAATATTGGTGTTGGAACAATACCTAACAGTGGACGATGATGTATTGGCTGCAGTTAGGTCGGCGTGGGTTGCGAGTAACAAAACACAGAAACGGCTGTGTCGATTCAGATTCCGCCTCTCTCGTCTCTTTAGGTTTGCTATCGCACGTGCCAATGCTGATATTGCAATTTTGTTACACTTATTATAAAGTTTAAATTATCTAATTAATTTAAAAAATTCATGTTATTTATTCTTAACTAGGAAAGAATTTGTGCATTCACTCCGATGTTGTTTTAAATAATAAATAAATAAAAAATAATGATTTATAAGATATGTGTATAAAAAATATGTAAATTAAATAATTTTATATCATGGAAAATGTATATTTTTGTAAAAAAAAAAGAGTAATAGAATAATTATTTATTATTGCGTTCGTATGGATCGCATAATGTGGTTATTTGGAGTTGTCTTGGACATGAACAAGCAGATCTACGATTTAGGACCTCCAAAAAAAATAATGGTCTCAAAATTACTTTTTCAGAAATCATAAACCTAAAATAAATATATAAATATTAATTTTTTAAATTAATTTTTAATATAAATTAATTATCATAGTGGTAAAAAGCTTGATTTTTAATGGTTAACTCTTAGGACCTACATTTTTTAATTTTTAAATATATTATTTTAAAAAAATTACATGATCCATTTTAAAAATTGGAGCATGACCTCCAAATTCTTGGGCTGGCTTTCGTCATTATAAATAAAAAATAAATATAATATTTTGGTGATTTAAAAATATATAATTATAAATAGATGGGATATGGATATTTGAATGATCTATTTTTTTGTCTAAATCTATCCTTTAACAAATATCATATTTACTTAAAATTTAAAAAAAAATTGACTGAATATCACAATTAATTTAGTAATTTTTTAAAGCTACATATTGATAATATAATATTATTGTAAGTCTTATATTATAATTGTAAGTTTAAATAAGTTAAAGCGAATAGTTATAAAAAAATTTTATATAATTTATTAAGAATATTAAATAATATTAGTGAATAGCGGTTGAAAAACATAAAAAAAACACATATAATAAAAAGTTCTTGTGAGACAAGGGGACTGGATTATTCTCAGTTAGGGGAGAAATCAGTATAAATCTTTTATGTCTTCTATAGTTGTTTTATTTACTTCTGTTGTATTCGTTGCCAACTGAATTAACTCAAAATCTGAACATCAGTTCTGATTCTGAAATTCTGATCAGAAGCTAAATAATAAGAAAACGAGAAACACAATTCAATCCCCTGCTTGTGTACTTTTTACACCGTCAAGTGTTAGTGGACTATTTCTCAGACAGTGTATATCCAATGTTAAGTTGTCTTGTGATGAACTCATCAGATTATCAAGTAGTGATTTATGAGAAGTTTGGTCCAGGTTATCATGATCAAGTGCCCATCAGTCCATTAGTGGTTCATCTATGGATTTATTTTCCTCAATATTTATTCAAGATCAAGGCAAATGTCAAGTTAATTCAAAGGATCGTTGCTTTAGTTACAAATTATTCAGTGGTTCAGGAGTAGCTTCATTCATTTTAATCAGAGGTTTGTGGAAGAAGTTCAAGTTGGTTTTGGATTAAAATCAAGGTTTCATGGCTATGTATGGAAAGTATTGGTGGAGGTGCAGAAAGAACTATTTTCTAAAGCCCATTATCCAATTCCATCCATTCACTTTTTTACCTGTTATTCATATTCAATCCAATTCATATCCAGTTTTTTCTTGCTATCTAATTTCATATCCATATTCATGAAAATTCATTATTCATTATCCATATATCCATTATCCTTTTCCATTATTGTTTTTTTTAAACCATTATGTCCAAGTATTTCAAAAAAAAAGCCATTACAAAGCCCAATATAAAACAATTGCCAAGAAAAAATGAATGAAAAAAAAGTCTTATGAAGCAACACGACCAACCAACACTACTTTCCACGCAAAATAAGAGAATTCTACCTGACACCCCCCACATATACCTGACACCCCCCATTTGTAGAGAAATTTCATATTAGCCCTTTCCGAAATTACCGAAGATATGAAAAATTTGGATGAAAACTGGAAATTTCACCAATATACCAGAAATTTCGCTAAAATTACCGTAGATAGAATTGCATTTGGCACACGTACTGAAAATTTTAGAATTTCCGAAAATTAATACCGAAAATGTTGAAATTTTCGGTATGTGGTATACCGGATATATTATAATTCCGTAAACTGGAAAAATATTTCAGAAAATTTAAATTTCCGGTATTAGTCCAGAACTTCAAAAAAACGCATAATTTCAATATTTTTCCAACATCGCCCTGCATAAATGGTTTCACATATGATATATACACAATATCCACAAGATTACATAGAAAACTAAAATGATGTCCTAAGTTCTTCCTCCTATTGCCTAATCTGTCATGCATATGCTGATTCTCATGCTTTTGCTTCTTCAGTACAATTTTATCTCCAACGATCAGTGACGGGAGGCAATGGTGTCATAGTGAGAATTGGATATCAAACTATTGATTAACTTGAATCACAAATCATTATTCAACACCGGTCTTTAATTTGTCCAAGGGAAAGGAAAAAGATCGAATAACCCATGAGCATGCAATGTAATGCAAAACTAGAGAATTTAAGGTTCGGGGGTTGGTTATACTTAGGGAAGGTGCTAGCATCCTAAGCATTTGTAGTACTCTACATGAACCTTTTGTTTTATTGTGTTATTTGTTATTTTTTCTGCTAAGGGTGAAAATGAAAAAGGAGACCTAAGGTGTTATTCCTAAGTATGCTCGCCAAGACATCGCATCTCATGCCTACGTATCCTGACGGAAATGGAATCAGAGCATTTGTAGTTCCCCTCAAGGGGTAAACAAAGTAAAAGGAAAAAGTTGGTTGTTAGGATAAGAGACAAGTTGTCATCTTAAGGAGAATACTCAACTTAAACCACCACAAACATGTGGAAGATGGGTCTTTGCTTCACATTAAAAGAAGGGCTCTAACTCGGATATAAAATCGACGAGTATGCTGCATACCTCTCTCAAGTGGAAAAGAATCTACATCTTTCTCAACTATTTCACGGGGTAAGAGAATTATATCTCTACTAAGGATGACTCATGTCTAATTCTCCCATGGAAGAAAAGGAAACCTAATTGTAGGTTGTCTAGTTAACATCCAAAGGGAACTGACCTAATTCTATGAATCTAAAATAAGATTGAAGGGGAAAACTATCTTATTGTTATCATGCAATAAGGGATTAATCCTAAAGTCTAATCTTAATTCAAAGTATTCATAGATTAAATTGAGTCAAGATATCCTAAGAGATCATGAAATTCGAAAAGATAGAAAATTGAACCTAAACTAAAAGATATCAAGAATTTATCAGGCGAAACATCAAAATCATATAGAAATACCATCCAGAGACGAGTCAATCCCCACCTTCAGATACTTGTCCATGATTTATAACTTTGAATCAAGAAATTAATCACCAATTCAAAACAAAACCTAATCTTACTTAAGTCAATAATCAGTCATAAATTTTAATAAAAATTAAATTACAAATTTTAAATCATAAAAAATTAAAAACTCAAAAATAGCATTTGTTATTAGTAAGAACAATGAGTGCACCAAAAAAACATATGGGTCATCCTAAGTCCAAGAAAATAAAAAATATACAAGAAATAAAATAAAAATAATAATAGTAGAAAAAAATGAAATAAAATAAGAATAAAAGTAAATAGAAGGCTTCAAAACAAATCGTGTGGGCATATCAATCTTCATTTCATTTAGATTAAAAGAGGATAGAACAAAACCTTTAGCAAGCAAGATTCCCACTCGCGACCTCCCTACGTCTTTTCTCATCTCACCGACGTTCTCCCTTTTTGTCTCTTTCTCTCGATGTCACGTTGTGGTTTGTGAAAAACTTTGCGGTTTAGATGTGAGGAAGATGAGGTATGAGTGTTTTTTCTTTTTTGTGTGTGATTGCTTGTTTTTTCTAATGCATATATATAGGACTAGAAAATAGACAAGAATGATAATAACAATTAACACAATGTTTTTGTTTTGTTTTTGTAATAAGACAAGAATAAAAAAAATTAAAAATCATATTTTTGTGTTTTTTATGACAAAACAAGAATAAAAGAAATTAAAAATCATGTTTTTGTGTTTTTTTTATAAGACAGGAATTAAAAGAATTAAAAATTATGTTTTTATATTTTTTAAAAAGAAAATATTAATAAACAAATTAAAAATAAAATTAATTAATAAAAATAATAATTTACATTAAATATCTAAATAA